CTTTATATAATAGTATCTTATTCAATGCAGATACTTTTCTTTCATACATGAATGAGCTTAGTTAAGTTACAGTTTTGAAACAAGACGTTCTCCACTTGTACAGATATAATCGTTTTCAACTGGTGTATGAACTGAAATTTTAAGAAAAACTATTGAAGAGTTTACACTCAGATATTTTTTTAAAGAAGGATTTGGAGATAGGTTTGAACACATTTTATATGACACATTGTTGTCGATCAAATATAAACTCTCCAAATAATAATGTGTTTTACAGACAAACCTGTGCTTTCATAGTTGGCACAGTGTTTCGCATATGAACAAACATATCTTAAAAGAAGTGACGGAATAGATACCTTGAATATGTTATAACGTTTTTATTTTTATTTATTTCTTCTGCAGGATATGTAGTAGTACACTTACTATTTCAATTTTTGAACTGATTTTTAGCTCACCTGGCCCGAAGGGCCAAGTGAGCTTTTCTCATCACTTGGCGTCCGTCGTCCGTCGTCGGCGTTAACTTTTTACATTTTGAACTTCTTCTAGAGAACCACTGAATGGAATGAAACCAAACATGGCATGAATGTTCCTTATGAGGTGCTGACCAAGTGTTGTTACTTTGTAGCCGATCCATCATCCAAGATGGCCGCCAGCGGGGGACTAAGTTTAACATAGGACCCTATGGGAAATGCATACAAATGACTTCTTTTAGAGAACCACTGAATGGAATAAAACATAACATGGCATGAATGTTCCTTATGAGGTGCTCACCAAGTGTTGTTACTTTGTAGCCGATCCATCATCCAAGATGGCCACCAGCGGGGGACTTAGTTTAACATAGGACCCTATGGGAAATGCATACAAATGACTTCTTTTAGAGAACCACTGAATGGAATAAAACCAAACATGGCATGAATGTTCCTTATGAGGTGTTGACCATGTGTTGTTACTTTGTAGCCGATCCATCATCTAAGATGGCCGCCATCGGGGAACTTAGTTTAACATAGGACCCTATGGGAAATACATACAAATGTCTTCTTTTAGAGAACCACTGAATGGAATGAAACCAAACATAGCATGAATGTTCCTTATGAGGTGCTGACCAAGTGTTGTTACTTTGTAGCCGATCCATCATCCAAGATGGCCACCAGCGGGGGACTTAGTTTAACATAGGACCCTATGGGAAATACATAAAAATGTCTTCTTTTAGAGAACCACTGAATGGAATGGAACCAAACATGGCATGAATGTTCCGTATGAGATGCTGACCAAGTGTTGTTACTTTGCAGTCAGTCCATCATCCAAGATGGCCGCCAGCGGGGGACTTAGTTTAACATAGGACCCTATGGGAAATACATACAAATGTCTTCTTTTAGAGAACCACTGAATGGAATGAAACCAAACATGGCATGAATGTTCCTTATGAGGTTCTGACCAACAGTTGTTACTTTGTAGCCGATCCATCATCCAAGATGGCCGCCAGCGGGGGACTTAGTTGAACATAGGACCCTATGGGAAATACATACAAATGTCTTCTTTTAGTGAACCACTGAATGGAATGAAACCAAACATGGCATGAATCTTCCTTATGAGATGCTGACCAAGTGTTGTTACTTTGTAGCCGATCCATCATCCAAGATGGCCGCCAGCGGGGGACTTAGTTTTACATAGGACCCTTTGGGAAATACATAAAAATGTCTTCTTTTAGTGAACCACTGAATGGAATGAAACCAAACATGGCATGAATGTTCCTTATGAGTTGCTGACCAAGTGTTGTTACTTTGCAGTCGATCCATCATCCAAGATGGCCGCTAGAGGGGGGGGGGGGGGGCTTAGTTTAACATAGGACCCTATGGGAAATACAAACAAATGTCTTCTTTTAGAGTACCACTGAATGGAATGAAACCAAACATGGCATGAATGTTCCTTATGAAGTGCTGACCAAGTGTTGCTACTTTGTTGCCGATTTACTGTTCAAGATGGCCACCAGGATATTTTATTAAATAACGGGACCAATATTAATCAAAATTTGGCCTCAATCATTATTTGGGTATCTGTTATGATTTTTATCTATCTTTACATGATTTCTAAAACCAAAGTAGAGTCAGGTGAGCGACACAGGCTCTTGAGAGCCTCTAGTTACTGGTCCCTGTACCTGTTTCTCATTATTACTTCAAGATTGCAGGGGACACTCACCTTCCTTTGAAGACCTGCACATTTTTATCTCATTAATTTGTGCAAGGGAAATTAGAAAAATTTCTAAAACACATGTTTTTTTATTAGCTCACCTGGCCCAAAGGGCGTCCGTCGTTGTTAACTTTTACAAAAATCTTCTCCTCTGAAACTACTGGGCCAAATTAAACCAAACTTGGCCACAATCATCATTGGGGTATCTAGTTTAAAAAATGTGTCCGGTGACCCGCCCAACCAACCAAGATGGCCCCCATGGCTAAAAATAGAACATAGGGGTACATAGATTTTGGCTTATATCTCTGAAACCAAAGCAGTTAGAGCAAATCTGTCAAGGGTATAATTGTTTATCAGGTCAAGATCTATCTGCCCTGAAATTTTCAGATGAATCTGACAACCCGTTGTTGGGTTCCTGCCCCTGAATTGGTAATTTTAAGGAAATTTTGCCGTTTTTGGTTATTATCTTGAATATTATTATAGATAGAGATAAACTGTAAACATCAATAATGTTCAGCAAAATAAGATCTACAAATAAGTCAACTTGACCAAAATGGTCAGTTGACCCCTTAAGGAGTTATTGCCCTTTATAGTCAATTTTTAACCAATTTTCGTAAATTTTTGTAATCTTTTACAAAAATCTTCTCCTCTGAAACTACTAAGACAAATTTAACCAACCTTGTCCACAATCATCATAAGGGTATCTAGTTTAAAAATGTGTCCGATGACCCCGCCCGCGAACCAAGATGGCTGACATGGCTAAAGAAAAGTACATAGGGTAAAATGCAGTTTTTGGCTCATATCTCTGAAACCAAAGCATTTAGAGCAAATCTGACAGTATAAAATTGTTCTTTAGGTCAAGATCTATCTTCCCTGAAATTTTCAGACCAATCAGGCAACACGTTGTTGGGTTGCTGCCCCTGAATTGGTAATTTTAAGAAAATTTTGCAGCTTTTGGTTATTATCTTGAATATTATTATAGATAGAGGTAAACTGTAAACAGCAATAATGTACAGCAAAGTAAGATCTACAAATAAGTCAACATGACCAAAATTGTCAAATGACCCCTTAAGGAGTTATTGCCCTGTATAGTCAATTTTTTACAATTTTCATAAATTTTGTAAATTTTTGTAAATTTTTACAAAATATTTTCCACTGTAATTACTGGGCCAAGTTCATTATAGATAGAGATAATTGTAAGCAGCAAGAATGTTTAGTAAAGTAAGATCTACAAACACATCACCATCACCAAAACACAATTTTGTCATGAATCCATCTGTGTCCTTTGTTTAATATGCACAAAGTCCAAGGTGAGCGACACAGGCTCTTTAGTTTAAGTTATAAATACCCATAAGAAATATTTGTTTGCTAGTCTGTTTAAAAAAAAAAGGATTGTGGTTTTCACTTACAAAAATTGCGTAAAAATATTTTCGTGCCATTTTAGAGTGACTTCCAATGCAGATGCATTAAATATTGTACTTTTCGTCACTAGCAATATATGAAATAACTTGTATATAGGTACCTTATTTAATGCAAATATTGATACAATTGTTGTAATAAGAACAAGGCATTGTCCAAAAAAGTGAGATATGCAGTTTTATTCATTTCTAAGGCAAAGTCACCAATTTATCCAAAATATGAGAAAACAATGGGGAAAAAAATATGGTTATTTTTTTTTAAAAGCATTATATTATATAGTGTTTTTTTTTGTTTTTTTTTTTAACTATTCTTCACACACGTATGAGCTAAGTTAAGATAAAGTTTGAAAACATGAAGTCCTCAATTTGTACAGGTAGGGCTCGTTTTATACTGTTGAATCAACTGAATTTAAGAAAAGTTTGAAGCTTTTTGGCTGAGTTATCCTCTTTTGAAGGCAGTGGAGATTTTTTGTGTTTTAAACATATTTTGTATGACACACTGTTGTCATTCAGATATAAAACTCTCCAAATATAAATGTGTTTTACAGACAGACCTGTGCTTTCATAGTTGGCACTGTGTTTCGCATGTGAACAAACATATCATAAAGTAACGATGGAATAGCTTAAGATAATGAAATTAGATTTTATTTTTGTGGATTTGTAGATTTGGTTGTTCTTGATTCTTATTAGTTATTGATAAATCTGTTCAAGAATGTGTAGTTTTGGAAACAAGAATTGAACAAAATAATGCAATTCAGAAAATAGCATTTTTACATGATTTGGTTTGAAGGCTGTAGAAAAGTTGACGAACAGTACATGTTAGCTAGCAGTTACACTGCAATGAGGTTAATGAAATAAATCACAAAATTTGAAGTTTTTTTTTGCTCCTTTCTCTTGTAATGATGTGCATATTCATTCTTGCTCACATGAAGCTAAAAAGTTATATAGTATAGACAAAACATGTCTGCAACTGATGCAACCCAGGCAGCTATAACCATGTATGGAGATAAATGAGTTGATAGAGAAAAGTGACCAAAACATCTAAAATACAGATTTTGATGAGTATCATTTTGAAATCCAGAGTGTATTCATGACCCAAGGGAAACTATTTAATTTGGGTCATACTTTTAAATTCTCTTCTGTATGACCTACTGACATGGAGTGACTAGATATGTATGATTGACAGGTTATTATTTCAATTTTATCAAAAACTTCCTTTATATAAATATATGAGCTCATCTTATTTATCATAGCTTCTTATGAAATATAAAAATTTAGAACATGAATTTCTAAAATGTTGTATCCGGTAAAGGGTTACAGTTAGAATAAATGATATCTTTCAAAGAACTTTGTAAATTAATGAGTGTAATAGATAATATTTGAAATGTGATTTTGTAGGTTTTAGCCCAACAAAGAGCTGAACAAGCAAGATTACAAGCCCTCTCACAGCCAGCTCAGCCTTCTACAGATGCACCTGTAGATCCATACAGTTTCTTTGCTACATTGCCTACCTCTCTCCGAAGACAAGTTCTAGCTGAAATGGACGATAGCATGGTGGCTGTATTGCCATCAGATCTAGCCACTGAGGCCCAGTCTTTGAGGAGAGAACTGGAAATAGACCGTCTGTTCTCTCAGGCTGGTGCAGGTTCACTTTCTGCCATTTTGAGACATTCAGGTAGTTTTATTTCAGTAAATCTATCAATTGATTGTTGCTGCTTTAATATTTAAGTACGTTACATATATGTTTCACAAGAATCTGTAACTTTGATTGGCAAACAAGAACTGTGAGGCATTCCAAAATTAGATTTTATTTTATTTCCCATTTAAATGCAATATTCATGACAGCAGGTGCTTACTGTGATAACGTCACAACAATGCATAGGAGAACAAAAGAAAGATTTTATTAAAACTGTAACTTCATGGTTGTAATATATAAATGTGATTATTCGAATTGAAAGCTTCGTGTGCACATTTTTAGTATGAAACGCTTCCACGTTCATTAAAAAATGTGCTTCAGTCAACGCTTTTACACCCCAATAAAACATCATAAATGACTGACATTTTATTTTATGAAACGATTGTACACTGGAATCTCAATAAGTTTGAGGGACCTGACATAATTACACCCCCTGCTTTAAAAAAGTGGGGGTATACTGTTTTACCTCTGTCTGTCTGAAATTTGGTTGCAGGGTTTATATAAGTCCGCTATACCATGTGATGCGTTTCAGATTCATCACGCAACAACTTCCTGTTTACCGAACACTTGTATCATTTTACACATGATAGCCAAGTTGAAAATTTTCGTCACATTTTTCTCAGGAACTACAATACAAGGATTTTGTTTTAGTCCCCTACCGACGAAGTCGAAGGGGACTTTAGGTTTGCACTCCATCTGTCTGTCAGTCCGGCAAATCAGCTTTCCACACTTTTTTTCTTCGTTCTTGAAGATATTGATTTGATATTTAGTATATAGTTTTATCATGACAAGTTATAGATCAAGTTCGAATTTTGTTCCGGTCTGATGATTTAGTCCAGAGTTATGGACCATAACTCTGGACCATATCTAATGTTAAGAGTACTATGTTAAACCATATTTCTGTACAAAGGGAGATAACTCATTTTTTAAAAGACATTCTTTGTTAAATTATTTGAATAATTTCTTGGCAGGTTTGTTTGTTATTTAGTATAAACTAATATTCTGAATGCTATATATATAAAAAAATATTATGAAGAGAAATCCTTTAATTAGATAATAATCTATTTTTATTAATGTATATATTTCAATACATTGCATTGTGTAGATAAGAGTTGTTGACATTTTATAGATAAGTCACAAATCTATATTAGTTTGTGACAAATGAAAGAAAAAATTTTGGAACTATTAATTATATTTGATTATGATTTGAAAAAAGATATACACTGTATTACATCATATCTTATTTTAGAGAACTATTAATCATATCTAATGTTTTTTCCACTCATATAATCAGTTTTCCACACTCTTTTCAGTCATGCTTGAAGATATTGACATGATATTTACTTTTTGTTTACACCATGACAAGTTATAGAACAAGTTAGCATTTTGTTCCAGTAAAATAAATTTTCATCCGGTAGGGGACTATGTATTGCCATGCAATACTCTCAGAATGCTTGTTGAAATTTGGTTTCAGGGTTTATATAAGTCAGCTATACTGATGCATTTTCAGATTCATCACTCAACAACTTCCTGTTTACCCAAATATTTGGGCGGGGGTATCATCATTGAGCTGTAGCTCGCAGTTTCACTTGTCATTCGATCATCCGAGGTGGCTAGTTCATTTCAATATTGTACCTCGTGTTGTCAGCCTGATATGTAATGGTAGAAAATGTATTTAATATCCCAATCCATATGTATCAACAGTGCATGCAGTATTAGAAAATAATTTGTTTCATAAAAACAAGAGAAAGAATAGACAGTTCACATCTGATGTTTACAAAGTTGGGGGATATAAAATACAGAAGTACTTGTGAAACGAAACAAATTGTTTCAGACGTATGATTTCCCCACTTTCTCCTGCGCTACTATCTGCTGAGGTCAAATCTTATATTCATTGATCTTTAATGAACTTTTTGGGTCTATTAATTCGTTCTGTAATTAGCTCAGGTGAAATGTGTTCCACAAACACAATTTTTAGCATGGTCCGACATCAAAGTGATGTACAAACAATTAGTGTAACAGGACAATCTGTTTATACAAACAAATTGATTGACCTAGAACTGATAAGGAAACTTATTTTGATGCGCAATGCAAACATACGATTTCAACATTTTATTCGTATTTTCGAATAGAATTAGTTTTTTTTTTGGTCTTCATCCAAATTTTCTTTTACTTAAAACTTCGACACATGGGGGTAAATTTATGTTCAACTATCTTTGAGGGGACTTCAAAATATACTCATGTTAACCAAATTTGGAATCAACAAAGTTAGATTCATCAGAGTTTTAATTGCCTTGAACAAACAGGAATTCTGCCGAAACTGGCGAAATACCTCTACTTATCCAAGTTTTCAACAGAACAAAGGTCGACTGTATTTTGAAGACAAGCAAACAAATAGATGAACTGAACAAGTAAATTTTGAATCTTACAACTTGAAAATGTAAAACAGCAACCATTTTCTGAATTTTGGAAGTTAGTTTAAATGTATGAACAATTTGTTATGTTAGATATGCCACTGCCTGAAATATTTACCATTTTGTAATATTTACTTTGAAAAAAATTTGCAGGTTTTTCTGGTGGAAGACTTGGAGGAGGAAGATACACAATCAGAGCTGTACCTACTAGTGGAAGACATTGGCCGTTTAATTCAAGGTCTGGACCATCTAATAGTACCCCTAAAAACAATGCAGTTCGAGTTCGAGGGCGGTTTCTTTTAGATCATGAAGCAATGACATGTCTTTTAGTATTACTGTTTGTTGATGAGCCAAAGCTCAACACAACCCGTTTACATAGAGTTTTAAGAAACTTGTGTTATCATGGACCAACACGCATTTGGGTGATTAAAGCTTTATTATCGATGCTTCATAAAACTGGAGAGTGTCAGATGGAAGAAGAGAAGGGCAAGAGTCCTGACAAAAGTAAAAGGAAATCTGCATTAGACAGTCCTGTTACAATGAAAAGTGATACTAAAAATCAGGGTACTTGGCTGTCGATGAGTTTAGAGGCAGCTCTAGGTTGCCGGGCAAATGTTTTCCAAGTTCATAAAACGGGTAAGAAGCACAGTAGTGCTGCTAGTGGGACAGTGACAATTCATACACAAGCAGCCCCAATGGTTTGTCGGCATGCATTAGATACCTTAATAGCACTTGCAAAAATATTTCCAAGTCAATTTTTACCGTCTACAAAAGCAAAAGAAGTTGGAAAATGTGATACAGATGAGAAAAAAGAGACTGATAAGGTTAAACCTGGGGTTAGTGCTAGTCCTAAAAAAGTTGAACCAGAAACTGATTTGTGGGATTTATTAGTCAAACTAGACAGTATAAGTGGTAGTAAAAAAGGTAAAGGTATGCAACGGATTCATAGTATACCTCTCACTGAGGGAGATACACAATTTCATAGTTACGAATCGTCACCTCTAGGAGCTTTAATGTGCATGTTAAATCATCCAGTTATCAAACGAAGTCAATTATTGACTGATAGACTGCTCAGACTGTTAGGTTTAGTGTCTAATGGCTTAGCTGACTCATCCAGTGCTCAGTCCCAGTCCAGTAGTACAATAGCAGAGATGCCCCAAGGTGGTGCCCAAGCACAAATAAGTACTACTGCAATAACGGGGGCTTCAGCTGTTACTACTTCTACTGCAACGAGAGCAACTGCATCAACAGGAACTAATACAGCTACTGATCAAATTAAGGAGAAAGAAGAAGAATCTGAAAAGAAAGATGAGGAAAAATTGGAAGAACAAAATGCTATATTAGAAAACCAGTTACAATTGGCAGTTAAGGTATGAATCACTTTGTACAAGCACATAAAATTTTAATTACTTAGTTGCATATTCACTATCTGGTAAAAAGCTTCATATATGATTACATTGAAATCTTGATACAATGATACTTCTGACAGATAGAGAGAATAAGAAAATAATGGATAAAAGAAATGTCAAAAGTGTCAGAATAGGGTTTATAATTAACTCTTTTGATTGTGAATAAAAGATGTTGATTAAATGTCGATGAGACAGTAGCCAAACAACACAAGTTCACAAAAAGTAGACATTTTAAGTTTAAAGGTCAGGTCTTCAGTGATGGACAAAAATACCTCATCAAATGGCAAGCTCAAATAGATTTATAAGTAATGAATGAATTCAATGGTTGCAACACAATATAAGACTTCGTTGCTGTTGTAAAGACTGTCCATCATTTAAAAGTAGAATGCAAACTATGGCATTTTACATACACTGCCCTTTAAATGATGGAAATAACCGCATAAAAGATTTTTGCTTAATAACTTGATTGAAATATTTAAAAAAAAAAAATACACATTGTTAGGAACCTAAAAGGACAGAGGATCAGGAATAGTGCAAATATGAGAATTTCGTGTTACTTGTTTTAACCCTTGTTGGAGAAAATGACCACATTAAGTTTCCTCTTTATAAGTCAAAGATGTTTTCAAGAAATTATTTAATAATTTACTTTTGCATGATGCTAGTAACAACTAAACACAGGTCAGTTTTGAATTTGACACATATTATATATGCCTTTCTGAAGTTATGCCTCATAATCAAAGGAAAATAGACTTGTTGAGGTCAATCTAAAAATAAGAAGATGTGGGTTGAGGTCAATATAAAATGAAGAAGATGTGATATGATTGCCTACCAGACAACTCTCCACAAGAGACCAAATGAAACAGAAATTAACAACTATAGGTCACAGTATGGCCTTCAACAATGAGCAAAGTCCATACTGCATAGTAACCTATAAATGGCCACAAAATGACAAATGTAAAACAATTCAAACGAGAAAACTAACGGCCAAATTTATGTATAAAATAATGAACGAAAAACAAATATGCTACACAACAACAAACGACAACCACTGAGTTACAGGCTCCTGACTTGGGACAGGCACATACAGAATGTGGAGTTTATTCTCATTTCTTTTTTGGCACTGGATGGTTTGGTGAGGCATCTGTGTCCACTTTTATATCAATAATAAAAGCAGGAATGTTGGAAAGCTAAATACCAATATTCTGAACTGAATACAATAAACTTAAAACAGATGTTACATCTAACATTCAGTCTTTAAAGCTACCAAATTACTTTTTTTTTTAGTTTACCAATATTGTTTTTTTTTTTTTTTTTTTAATTTAGGTGCTCACATCCAAATCTTGCTCAGAGGAAGGATTAGAGGATGCAACAAATTTGTTGGTTCAACTGTCGTGGGCAAATTCATCTACTAGAGAAGCAGTTTTAGGTCTTCTATTGGATGGTGCTAGAGAACTAGGCTTTACCGTTTGTGCACATATTAGGTGAGAACTGTTCTTAATTGTTTGTAAACAGGTATTGCTCCTTCAAAATACACTGCTCAAATTTACAGAAAATGTTTAATATGACGTAAAAATACCGACCTAGACCTTTAATTCTTTCAGAAAGTGTGTGCACTACATTCAGATTAGACATTAAAATATGTCAATGGTCTTTGAAGCATGATAAGGTAAATTTAATGGACAAATTCAGAAATTTAAGTTCTGTCCTCAAAAGTTACTCCAAACAGTCACATGGCCAATTAGGATGTCCAAAAACAGTGGCATTCCCATTATGCCACACATTTCTAGATTGGTCCACCATCTGGTTCTTGATATATGACTGTTTTATAAATGGAGGGTGTACATATTTATTTTCAAACGTATACAGCAATATTTAATTCTGAATCTTTTACAGGACATTAATAGAAGAACTAAGAAAATTGAATGTGAAGTCTAGGTATGAAGATGATGAAGATTCCCGTGATATGGATACTACACAGTCGACATCAACTAAAGGCTTCATTGCAGATAGGTATGATTGTTATATTATAATGAAACTGCTTTTAGAATATTCTGTTGGGGCTATTCCATTAAAAAGAATGTACCAGGGTCGGACGGCAATTATAAAAAATCCCGTTTGTTGTTGATGTGTTGAAGCGTTTATGGCCAGTGGTCCTTGGTGTTTAGAGAAACTAAGTATTGTTGGTTGTTGGTCTTCTTTGACAGTCAGTTTTTGTGACTGTTGGTTTCATTGTGCTATTTTTCGTTATTTATTATTATTTGTTTTTGCAAGGACTTATATAACCGATTGTTTTTGTCTCCTGCTCATATCGTGATATTTTGGAAAACATAACTGTTCCCGCGACTTACGCAGCGGCAGGCGCAACGTTGTATTCTACCTATGGTACCAACTCCGGAAGTGCAAGAGTTACTTCCCTTTAATGACAAGCACATGACGAACTATGTTAAATTCTAATGAAAGAACCTTCGATTTGAAAGAAAATAAAAATTAACTTTGCCGACCTTTTTAACCATCAGTATGGTCATTTTAAAGCCATATTACTATTGAGATCGTATACCCCTCCTGGGATTTTTCTAGTATTCCACAGGGTCCAAATACCGGACCCATTCCTATTGGCAATGGCAAATATCCTACGTTTTTCCCAGTTTTCAATTTGGGACAAAAACTTCCAAACGATCTCAAAATTTATTTTTATCTTTATTATTCATGACAGCGATGCTCATTTTGTTCAACCACTAGCTTTATACTGAAAATCGCCAACAAGTAATGTGCACATACAAGTAAAATTGTATCTGACTGACAAAAACAACATTGAAGAACAATGGATGCCATAAACCGGAAATGAAGACGATTACAATACTGGATCAGATTCCAGGGTCGGATAAGGGTAATTCCGGGTTTGCCGATCAAATGCAATAAAAAAAATAATAATTCCAGGCAGATGACAAAATACATCTATGATGATGAAATATAAACACTCGAATTGAAAACCAAAAAATATATGGAAAAGAAAGAAAAAGCATGAAATATTTTATACAGAAACTCAAAATAACTTTAGTTCACAAATTTTCATGTCAAAATCCAATGAATTGTGACAGTAATATTCTTTATCATTAATAAATGTTGATATTACATGTAGATGTTTTTACAGAGTATACATATATCTACAATTCCAAGAGGTAATTTCTTCTCAATTTTGAAGGGCCAGTGAAAAATAAGTTAGATATATTCCAGTTGGTTCTTGTATTGTCATGAAACGACTTCCTGTTGGTTGGTGTTAAGATACATTGTACATTCCTCTTGGTCATGGGGGTACTTAAAAATTGCCTTCCGACCCTAGTACCTCCTTTTTAATGGAATAGCCCTTATCCAGTAGAGATCTTCTTCATTTGCCTTATTTTATGTAATTTACAGATTTTTCTTGAATTCTACTTTTAATCAATCATCTGTATCTAATGTTTTAAGTTTGGGTTGTTTTGATATTAAAGGTTGGTTTTTGTGCTCCATTGATAGATATTTTTCAATTATTACCAAAATTAAGATTTAATTGCAAGATCTTTATTTGTACTTGCTCTTACCTCTGAAGAATGATGAATGCAGTTATTTCAAGTTGTCTTTCCTCCTTTATTTTGAAAATTTCCAATTGATGTCAAAAGAGCATTATTGGAATCGTATGTTTATATATAGAACGTGATATCTACATTTTTATCAAATTTTTTGTCTATACTGGCCTATGTTTATTATTACATTTGTATGCTGAGTAGGAGGAAATGTAGGAAGACAAATCAATTTTGTTTTAGACAATGCAGAATAATTTCAGCTTTATTTATGTTTTAACAATAAGGTACAACCCTGGTCAGAATCTACTTGTAAGTGCCTCAAAGAAAGTGAAAGTGGGAAGGGAATTACAGTTACCTTCCATGACAGCATTAACTAGTAAGACATCCAGTCAGCAGTTCTTCTTAAGAATACTGAAAGTGATTATTCAGCTCAGAGATGCTGCAAGGACTGTGGGCAAGAAAACCTCTGCAAGAGGAGGAAGGGTTGGCAGAGGTATGTACTCTTCAGTTTTGATTTACATAATTAAAAATTAAAAGATAACATATAAAACTGTGAAGAGAAAAGAAAAAAGAAACACTGGTACTTTTATTGTAGGAGGAAGGCATAATTAAAACTGGATGGTATTTTTATCTTGTAAGTTAATCTTTTAGATCTTTACTTTTCAAATTTTATGAAAACAATGTATTTTGAAGACTTAAATGGGAATTTTAAAAGAGTATGGATGATACTGAAGTTGACGCAGCATCTGAATCAGTCAAGTTCTTGGATTTGAAAGTATTGGCATTGAAAAGAAAAGACAAAGTCCTTTTTCAGTGGCATTGAAATCAAGATTGTCTGTGTATATAAAAAAAAAAAAATCCCTTTGTCATTTGTCTAATGATGTATACATTTTTGTTAAAAAAAGAACCCAACATTTCACAATTCAGATTCAAGAATCTTGGGTAACATTGCAGAGGCAATGGATGCAATAGAAGCAGAAGCTGAAGCAATTATGGAAATGGTTGGAAGACGTGGTAATCAGCTTCCCTCTGCTGCTGGCCAACAAGGAGAATCTGTTTCAGAACCATCAAGTGCTGAAGGCAACACGTCAAATACACCAACATCTTCAGCGGAGACAACGGAAGGATCTGTCAATACACCCAGTACATCAGAAACACCAATGGATGTAGACCAGCCAGGTAATTTGTCATTGCGTGGCAACTAGTGATCCAGTATTATGGTTTGGAATGGAGACCTACCTTTCAGAAAATGCATATTCCATATGCACATTATTACTCATCCCCAGTATAGTCTGGTTGTGAAATTAAATGTTCCCCTTTATATGTAATTGATATCAGGTTTCCTATAAGTTTCATTTAATATTTCATGGCTAGGATATGTGATGCATGTTCAGTTTTGTCACTGGATACGAATCGAGATGGAGAGATCATTTTTTTTCTCTGAATTTAAGTTAAAATATATCTTGTTTCATTAGGAAAAAAGATTGTTGTTCATACTGTGATTCATAAATAATGGTATCAATTTTAAGTGTATTGAAGAAAAATTATATTTTGGTTGATACTTGATTTTGTGGTTTTATCAAATTCTGCATTTACTGCTTTGTTATCAAGTTTAATTCATGGTTCACAAAATCCACACAAAAAAATACCTCACAAATAATAACATATCCATAGTATTGCTATATAGTTTTTAAATAGAAAAACTAATGATTTTTAATGTTTTCAGGATCAAGTCAAAATGATAAGAAAGAGAAGAAAGAAGTGGTACTCCCCAGATTAAGTGAACAGTTAATCTTAGAAGAATTGTGGCAGTGTTTAGGAGAATGCCTTTCAGAATTGGATAAGACACCAGATCATCATGCCGTATTGATACTACAACCTGCAGTGGAAGCTTTCTTTATTGTTCATTCTGGTAAGTTATCTGACAGATGAATTTAGGACTTATTTTCCAGGAAAAAGAACAATATTTAGATGTGGTTGATCAGATCCATCACATTTAGTGATCTATGATTTTCAGGATTATTTAGTATAACCAATGTAATTTAACTTTAATTTAATTTGTGAAGTCTTCATCTAATAGTGTTTTACAATTTGAAAATGAAAAATCACAAAGTAAAACTTTTCTCAAACCTGCTTGAAAGAAAGAATACAAAAATGGATTAAGGAAAAATTAGTATCAAATTATTAGAAGTCTGCATCAAAAGAAATTTATCAACATAGAGTTATTCTGTTACAGGAGAGAAAGGCAATAAGACCAAAGATCAATCATCTCAGAGGAGAGAAGATCAGCTAGCTCACCTGAACATTGATTTTGCTCCAGCCTCGCCTGCTGCATCTACCTCCTCAGAGACACCAGCCTTGGCCAGGGAAAATTCTGTGTCCTCAATTTCATCTCTCCCTCCTGATACTCAGAAATTCCTGAAGTTTGCAGGTATGGTATAGCTTTAAATACTGTCATAGCACTTTTAAAAATGGTTGTCTATGTTTTTCCATATCCAGCAAGTTGATTAGTAGGATTTTTATTTTGGTGATAGAAGTCCAAGGAAAATATGTATGTCATTTAGTATTGTATTTCATTGGTGAAGCATATTAGACACATTTTCAAGGTAAAGTTTAATAATTTCATGTGAAATTTCCCTTTAGATGTTTATAGCAATCCCAAATATTGCCAAGATTTTATTGTTTTGAAAGGTACCGGTAAAATTCAGGGTTTAGTGGTTGATATATGATGGATAAAAAGTTTCCTAAGAAAAGAGAGCATTTTAATCTTTGCTCAAAGATCTGGACAATTGTTTTAGAAGTTTTAGGGGGATTTTATCTCTTTTCTGTTAAATGCATTGTGGTTATAAGAACAATTAAAATGAAATTCTCTTGGACCCTTAATGGTTTATTTGATATAAAAAGAACAACATGGCGAATTTCTGATTGTTTCTATATAGCACATCAGACCAGACACTATGTGATATAAATCTTATCACCCTGAACCATGGTCATTTGGTTAAACAATCAACATGTCACACTGATTTGGGTGATACAGCTGTTTGCATTATATAATTTTATGATAGAAAACTAATTGTTGTAAGAAGATCAGGCTTTTTAATATTGAGTAGTCTTATTTGTTGGATTTTCATTTTTTTTATTTAATGAAAAAGATAATGAAATACTACTCTGTATAAAGCCTGGCTAGTAGTATTAATGAAATCTTAGATATTGTTGGGATATCTTAACACTCAGCAAAACCTAGTTGTTCATAGAAAGAGACAAATAATTTATAATCTGAATAGATATGCAAAAAGTTATGTTCAATGCGACTTAGAGGCCAATGAGCTGTGTGCAAACAAAACTGATTATTGTTCAATGAATTGTGTTGAATTCTTTGATGCACTTATCACTATAACAAATAATAATGGAACTTAACCTGTTTCAAAAACAAAAACTTTTTGGCCCTTTTAGGTTTATCAGCTCTTCAATGTCAGTATTAGGTTTTAGATTCCCAAATATTTTGGCCTCTAGTATCTCTGAAAAATCTTAAAATTATTGAAATGCACATTTGGGACTAAATAACTGGTTCCCTATCACTGATTAGGATACCTATTATGGGCAACACATTTTTGATTTAAAACTGTTGAACTTTTATAACTGATGTACACATTCACAAATACAACATGGCGAATTTCTGATTGTTTCGATATAGCACATCAGATCAGACACTATGTAATATAAAATCATATCACCCTGAACCATGGTCATGTGGTTAAACAATCAACATGTCACACTGATTTGGGCGATACAGCTATTTGCATCATATACATTTTTTGTAAGGAAAGGTGTCAAGTTGAAAGAAGAGAAGACGTAATGAAATATAAATGAATACTGTGGATTCTTTATTATTTGGAGATACCAATTTTTGGAGGTATTGGCAAACCTGGAATCTAAATGTTCCAACAAATATAAATTTTCTATAGGCTTGTATTCAGACTTTTGGCAAAACCATGAAATCAAATATCCACAAAGGTACAGGTTTTCCTCAGTCCATGAAAAATTCAAAATTAGTACCTACAAAAAATAAATGAATTCACCATAACTTATTTGTTTGATTTTTCATTTGTTTTATGCAATAGAAAAAGCAAGCAGTATGAGAATGCTGCCACAATTGCAAAGTTTTTCTTTTTCTTTTTTTACCTGTATGTTTGACTCGTGGAACATATTTCTATCTTATATAAACATCCACAAGTTCAACATGGCGAATTTCTGACTGTTTTTAATATAGCACATCAGATCAGACACTATGTGATATAAATCTTATCACCCTGAACCATGGTCATGTGGTTAAACAATCAACATGTCACACTGATTTGGGTGATACAGCTGTTTGCATCATATAAATATGTGCGAGAAAAAGTGTATAACTTGAAGAATATAAGACATTTATTGAAAAGTTTAATTGATGGATTATTTTCACAGAGCAACTTTTATGTACATTTAGAAAAACGTTTAACATGGAGAATTTCTGATTGTTTCGATATAGCACATCAGATCAGACACTATGTGATATAAATCTTATCACCCTGAACCATGGTCATGTGGTTAAACAATCAACATGTCACACTGATTTGGGTGTTACAACTGTTTGCATTTTATAAATATTTGTAAGCAAAAATTGTATCGTTTGAAGATGATAAGAAATTTATTGAAAACTTGACTAGGATTGTCATTTTTCCTACCAAAGGTCGTTGAATTTTTCTGGGTACTCCGGTTACCTCCACCAATTAAAACTGACCGCCACAAAATAGCACAATTGTGCTGAAAGTAGCGTTAAGCACCAATCAATCAAAGTATTTTATTTTCTTTGTTACATGTATGTTTGAATTTTGGAACAACTTTTCATCCACAAGTTCAACATGGCGAATTTCTGATTGTTTCTCATAGCACATCAGATCAGACACTATGTGATATAAATCTTATCACCCTGAACCATGGTCATGTGGTTAAACAATCAACATGTCACACTGATTTGGGTGATACAGCTGTTTGCATGATGTACATTTTAGTGAGATAAAATGTATAATTTGAAGAAGATAAGACATTTATTGGAAAGTTTATTTGATGGATTATTTTCACAGAGCAACTTTTCAACATGTATGTACATTTAGAAGTTCAACATGGCGAATTTCTGATTGTTTCTATATAGCACATCAGATCAGACACTATGTGATATAAATCTTATCACCCTGAACCATGGTCATGTGGTTAAACAATCAACATGTCTCCCTGAAATGGATGATACAGCTTTTTGCATAATATACCTTTTTTATACGACCGCAAAAAAAATTTTGTGGTCGTATATTGGTATGACGTTGGCGTCGTCGTCCGAAGACACATTAGTTTTCGCACTCTAACTTTAGTTTAAGTGAATGGATCTCAATAAAATTTTACCATAAGGTTCAATACCACAAAAGGAAGTTGGGGATTGATTTTGGGGGTTATGGTACCAACGGTTAAGGAATTAGGGACCAAAAAGGGGCCAAAAATAAGCATTTTTATACGACCGCAAAAAAATTTTTGTGGTCGTATATTGGTATGACGTTGGCGTCGTCGTCGTCCGAAGACACATTGGTTTTCGCACTCTAACTTTAGTTTAAGTGAATGGATCTTTATGAAATTTTTCCACAAGGTTCAATACCACAAAAGGAAGGTTGGGATTGATTTTGGGGGTTATGGTAATAACAGTTAAGGAAAAAGGGGCCAAAAATAAGCATTTTTGTAACTTCCAGACATAACTTGTGTGTTAGTGTATGGATCTCTCTGACATGGTACCACAAGGTTCTATATCACTAAAGGAATGCTGGGATTGATTTTGGGGGTAATTGCCTCAAAATTTTAGGAATTAGGGGGCAAAAAACAAGCATTTTTCTAGTTTCATGACAATAACTTGTGTGTAAGTGTATGGATCTTTCTGAAATTGTACTACAAGGTTCCATATCACAAAGGGAAAGCTGGGTTTGAGTTTGGGGGTAATTGCCCTAAACGTTTAGGAATTTGGGGCCAAATAGGGGCCAAAAAACACATTTTTTTCTGGTTTCCAGACAATAACTTGTGTTCAAGTGTATGGATCTCTCTGAAATTGTATTGCAAGGTACCATACCACAAAGGGAAGGCTGGGATTGAGTTTGGGGGTGATGAATCATAATGGGGGTTCAAAAAATTTTGGGGGGGATTTATTTTTTTTAATTTTTTTTCTTTTTTTCCTTTTTTGTTTCTTTTAAAATTTTCCATTTTAAGTTGGTTATTTCTGATTTATATTTAAAATCAAATAATAATGATATGGTAGGAGATACACACCAAACAGGATGTGTAAATTATTATATAATAAGTATTGTGCAATAGCAAGAAATTTTCAATTGCACAGTATTGCACAATAGCAAGAAATTTTCAATTGCACAGTATTGCGCAATAGCAAGAAATCTTCAATTGCACAGTATTGCGCAATAGCAAGAAATATCCAATAGCACAATATTGCGCAATAGCAAGAAATTGTCAATTGTACAGTATTGCGCAATAGCAAGAAATATTTAATAGCACAGGATTGTGCAAAAGAAGATACTTCCTATAAATTGCTTATTTCTTGACCAATTTCAATGGGGTTTTATTCTTGATTTCATGGGGTTCTTTAATATGCTGAATCTAACCGTGTATTTAGTTTTTGGATTTTGGGCCCCGTTTTTAAATTGGTCCACATTGAGGTCCAAAGGGTCCAAAATTAAACTTTGTTTGATTTCATCAAAAATTGAATTATTGGGGTTCTTTGATATGCCGAATCTAACCGTGTATTTAGATTCTTAAATTTTGGTTCTGTTTTCAAATTGGTCTACATTAAGGTCCAAAGGGTCCAAAATTAAACTTAGTTTGATTTTAACAAAAATTGAATTCTTAGGGTTCTTTGATATGCTGAATCTAAACATGTATTTATATTTTTGATTATGGGCCCAGTTTTCAAGTTGGTCCAAATCGGGGTCCAAAATTAAACTTTGTTTGATTTCAACAAAAATTGAATATATGGGGTTCTTTGATATGCTGAATCTAACCATGTATTTAGATTTTTGATTTTTTGGCCCCGTTATCAACTTTGTTTCACATTGAGGTCAAAAGGGTCCAAAATTAAACTTTGTTTGATTTCATCAAAAATTGAATTCTTGGGGTTCTTTGATATGCTGAATTTAACCATGTATTTAGATTTTGGATATTGGACCATAATAGGTGAATGTCCAATTTAAAATTTTTTAAGTTCTTAGACCACATTCATTCTGTGTTAGAAACCTATGCTGTGTCAAATATTTAATCACAATCCAAATGCAAAGCTGTATCAAGCTTGAATGTTGTGTCCATACTTGCCCCAACTGTTCAGGGTTCGACCTCTGCGGTCGTATCAAGCTGCGCCCTGCGGAGCATTTTATTTCCTTTTTTTTTTCTTTTAAAATTTTCCATTTTAAGTTGGTTATTTCTGATTTATATTTAAAAGCAAATAATAATGATATGGTAGGAGATACACACCAAACAGGATGTGTAAATTATTATATAATAAGTATTGTGCAATAGCAAGAAATTTTCAATTGCACAGTATTGCACAATAGCAAGAAATCTTCAATTGCACAGTATTGCGCAATAGCAAGAAATCTTCAATTGCACAGTATTGCGCAACAGCAAGAAATATCCAATAGCACAATATTGCGCAATAGCAAGAAATTGTCAATTGTACAGTATTGCGCAATAGCAAGAAATATTTAATTGCACAGTATTGTACAAAAGAAGATACTTCGTATAAATTGCTTATTTCTTGACCAATTTCAATGGGGTTTTATTCTTGAATTTTTGGGGTTCTTTAATATGCTGAATCTAACCGTGTATTTAGTTTTTGGATTTTGGGCCCCGTTTTTAAATGGTCCACATTGAGGTCCAAAGGGTCCAAAATTAAACTTTGTTTGATTTCATCAAAAATTGAATTATTGGGGTTCTTTGATATGTCGAATCTAACCGTGTATTTAGATTCTTAATTTTTGGTTCCGTTTTCAAATTGGTCTACATTAAGGTCCAAACTGCAAAGGGTCCAAAATTAAACTTAGTTTGATTTTAACAAAAATTGAATTCTTAGGGTTCTTTGATATGCTGAATCTAAACATGTATTTATATTTTTGATTATGGGCCCAGTTTTCAAGTTGGTCCAAATCGGGGTCCAAAATTAAGCTTTGTTTGATTTCAACAAAAATTGAATATATGGGGTTCTTTGATATGCTGAATCTAACCATGTATTTAGATTTTTGATTTTTGGGCCCTGTTATCAACTTTGTCCACATTGAGGTCAAAAGGGTCCAAAATTAAACTTTGTTTGATTTCATCAAAAATTGAATTATTGGGGTTCTTTGATATGCTGAATCTAACCATGTATTTAGATTTTGGATATTGGACCATAATAAGTGAATGTCCAATTTAAAATTTTTAAGTTCTTAGACCACATTCATTCTGTGTCAGAAACCTATGCTGTGTCAAATATTTAATCACAATCCAAATGCAAAGCTCTATCAAGCTTGAATGTTGTGTCCATACTTGCCCAAACTGTTCAGGGTTCGACCTCTGCGTTCGTATCAAGCTGCGCCCTGCGGAGCATTTTATTGTAACTTCCAGACATAACTTGTGTGTAAGTGTATGGATCTCTCTGACATTGTACCACAAGGTTTCATATCACAAAGGGAATGCTGGGATTGATTTTGGGGGTAATTGCCTCCAAATTTTAGGAATTAGGGGCCAAAAAACAAGCATTTTTCTAGTTTCATGACAATAACTTGTGTGTAAGTCTATGGATCTCTCTGACATTGTATCACAAGGTTCCATATCACAAAGGGAATGCTGGGATTGATTTTGGGGGTAATTGCCTCCAAATTTTAGGAATTAGGGGCCAAAAAGGGGCAAAAAACAAGCATTTTTCTAGTTTCATGACAATAACTTGTGTGTAAGTCTATGGATCTCTCTGACATTGTATCACAAGGTTCCATATCACAAAGGGAATGCTGGGATTGATTTTGGGGGTAATTGCCTCCAAATTTTAGGAATTAGGGGCCAAAAAGGGGCAAAAAACAAGCATTTTTCTAGTTTCATGACAATAACTTGTGTGTAAGTCTATGGATCTCTGTGACATTGTACTACAAGGTTCCATATCACAAAGGGAAAGCTGGAATTGAGTTTGGGGGTAATTGCCCAAAAATTTTAGGAATAAGGGGCCAGAAATAAGCATTTTTATACGCTCGTTTACGGGACGTATTATGGTATACCGTTGTACGTCCGTCTGTCCGTCCGTCGTCAACATGTCGGACATTAACTCAAAAACGCTTTAACCAATTTGCTTAAAACTTTGGTGAATTGTTTATATCTATTGACGTGAGCTCCCTTTCGTTTTTTTATAAATTTTAGATTTTATGTTTCCAAGTTATGGGGTTTTATTCATTAAAAAAAGGGGGATTTTCAAGTTTTTGACAATAACTCAAGAATGCCTTCACCAACTTGCAAGAAATGTTGGTTAATTGTTTATATCTATTGACATGAGCTCCCTTTGGATTTTTATAAATTTTAGATTTTACGTTTCCGAGTTGTGGGGTTTTATTCATAAAAAAAAGGGGGATTTTCCAGTTTTCGGGCAATAACTCATAAATGCTTTCAGCAGTTCTCATGAAACTTTGATGAATTGTTGATATCTATTGATGTTAGCTCCCTTTAGAATTTTATAAATTTTAGATTTTACATTTCCGACTTATGGGGTTTATTCATTAAAAAAGGGGGATTTTCCAGTTTTCAGACAAAAACTCAAAAATGCTTTCAGCAATTCGTATGAAACTTTGGTAAACTGTTTATATCTATTGATGTAAGCTCCCTTAAGAATTTTACAAATTTTATTTGTTTATAGTCTGACAACAGATTTACTAAGTATTGCGCAACAGCACAGTGTATTGCACAACAGCAAGAAATCTTTAATTGAATATAAATTCAATTCATATAACCAACTTCAAGTTCTTTGACTACATTTATTCAGAAACCTATAATAGATGTATGTCAAATATTTAATTACAATCCAAATTCAGACCTGTATCAAGCTTGAATATTGTGGTGTCCATTTTTGCCCCAACTGTTCAGGGTTAGACCTCTGCGGGCGTATCCAGCTGCGGTCAGCGAAGCAGTTTATTCTAGTTTCCAGACAATAACTTGTGTTCAAGTGTATGGATCTCTCTAAAATTGTACTGCAAAGTACCATACCACAAAGGGAAGGCTGGGATTGATTTTGGGGGTAATTGCCTCAAATTTTTAGTAATTAGGAGCCTTAAAAGGGCAAAAAAACAAGCATTTTTCTAGTTTCAAGACAATAACTTGTGTGTAAGTGTATGGATCTTTATGAAATTGTACTGCAAGGTTCCAAATCACAAAGGGAAAGCTGGGTTTGAGTTTGGGGGTAATTGCCCTAAACGTTTAGGAATTTGGGGCCAAAAAGGGGCCAAAAAACACGCATTTTTCTAGTTTCCAGACAATAACTTGTGTTCAAGTGTATGGATCTCTCTGAAATTGTACTGCAAGGTACCATACCACAAAGGGAAGGCTGGGATTGAGTTTGGGGGTGATGAATTGTAAGCGGGTTCAAAAAATTTGGGGGGGGGGGGGGGGGATTTTTTTTTCCTTTTTTTTTCTTTAAAATTTTCCATTTTAAATTGGTTATTTCTGATTTATATATAAAAGCAAATAATAATGATATGGTTTGAATAGGTAAATTAAAATTTTTTAAGTTCTTAGACCACTTTCATTCTGTGTCAGAAACCTATGCTGTGTCAAATATTTAATTACAATCCAAATTCAGTGCTGTATCAAGCTTGAATGTTGTGTCAATACTTGCCCCAACTGTTCAGGGTTCGACCTCTGCGGTCGTATCAAGCTGCACCCCAGCCGAGCATTTTATTTTATAAGGAACGGTGTAAAGTTTGTGAAGGCAAGACATGTATTGATAATAAATGAATACTGTAGATACATTATCATTAGATGATACCAATTTTCATGGAATACAAGGGTATTGGTAAACCAGGACTCTAAATGTTCAACAAAGTAAAAAGTTTCTTTAGGCTTGTATTCAAACTTTGGCAAAAGCATGAAATCAAATTTCCACTAAATGACAAGTTTTCCTCAATCTACAAACAATAAATGAAATCATAGTAGCTTATATTTTATTTAATTATTTTCAGTTTTTTTATGCAATAGAAAAAGCATTATGAGATACTACCAAAATTTTGCACTGTTGAACTTTCATAAAGGAAAGCAACCTGCCAATTCTTTCCCTTATATGAAAGTATGTCTTTTTCTTTGTTATGTGTATGTTAGAATTGTGGAACAACTTTCTTATAATAATAATGATAATAATAATTCTTTATTTAAAGAGGGTAACACAGTTCGTTATAAAAGTAATCTTCCCTGGTGCCATCAAAACTCACATCCACAGGTTTAACATGGCGAATTTCTGATTGTTTCTATATAGCACATCAGATCAGACACTATGTGATATAAATCTTATCACCCTGAACCATGGTCATGTGGTTAAACAATCAACATGTCACACTGATTTGGGTAGTACAGCTATTTGCAACATATAAATAATTGTGAGAAAAAGTGTATAGTTTGTAGAAGTTAAGACATTTATTGAAAAGTTTACTTGAAGGATTATTTTCATAGAGCAACTTGTATATACATTTAGAAGTTTAACATGGCGAATTTCTGATTGTTTCTATATAGCACATCAGATCAGACACTATGTGATATAAATCTTATCACCCTGAACCATGGTCATGTGGTTAAACCATCAACATGTCACACTGATTTGGGTGATACAGCTGTTTGCATTGTATGAATTTTTTATTACCGATATAGAAAGGTGATTGTTTTTATGTGAGACATTTTAAAATATTACACCAAAAATTTGGTTTTCTTAAAGATTTTTAAAAATTGCCAAATAATGAGAAGGATATAAACAACATAAGATTTTCAATACTGAATGTAAACATCAACTCTTTAAAGTAAAATAAAAAAAAAACTTTTATGACTTATGTTATCATTTTGAGTTGTTTTGTTTTCAGAAACACATCGAACAGTCTTGAATCAAATCCTGCGGCAATCAACCACACCACTTTGTGATGGACCATTCTCAGTCTTAGTTGATCATACTAGAATATTGGACTTTGATGTGAAACGCAGGTATTTTAGGCAAGAGTTAGAACGACTTGATGAAGGATTAAGAAGGGAAGATTTGGCTGTACATATCAGGAGAGAAAATGTATTTGAAGACTCTTTCAGAGAGTTGTTTAGGAGAAAGGCTGACGAATGGAAACACAGATTCTATATCGTATTTGAAGGTAATTAATATGGTTGTAGTTTTAAATTTTGAATTGCCAAACAATTAGCTACTAACTATAAAACAGTATTTTAACTTTGTAACTTTGGCCTATTAAGCAGTTTCAGTATTATATTTTATTATATTATTATACCCCCTGGCTAGTAGTAAGGGCTATATTGCATTCTCCTTTCCTTCTATTCATCCATTTCTGTCACACTTTTCTCGGTACAATTTGAACAGATACACTTTATATTTTGTCAGCAGCTTGACAGTGATGTGTTGTATAGTTTTAGCACTTTTTAGATCTGTCTGACACCTGCTTCCTATTTTTCAGTACTTTGAATTACAAATGTATCATTTGATAATCTATACTTATCAGGTAACACTTACATTCTTGTTCCATCTACAAACAAATTACAACCATAACTACACATGTGTTAACCAACTATCTAGCAACTTGTCAGTTTCTCTAGAGCAGTTTAACAAATGTTAAGTATTTAAAATTAAAATTGCTCAGGTGATATTGCTTGCTTCTTGTGACTACTTCAGAGTTCCACAGTAATTTTGGTTTCTACACCTGATATCAGTCTTTAACAGCTGTCAATGAAACTGAAATAAAATTGACTGCATGCAAAAAAATGCTGTATTGTTTTGGCTATAAAAGAACTTTGTATTTGATAAGCAGGAACAATCACTTTCTTATTCTTAGCAAGATCTTACCCAAGATTCGAAGAATATACATTTCTGTACATGCTTAAATTTATAGTCTATTGTAAATAAAAAAAAAAAAAAAAAGAAAACAAATTCTGATATGCAAATAGTTCTCTGTGATTGGCTATACACACCAGATATCAACTTTAGTTGATGATAAATTCTTTTCAGAACTTCTTCTGTTAAATACTTCATATCAAAGTAAGCAATTGGTTGACTCTTCACAAATACATCTCCTGTTAATGGACAATTATATTTTACAGAATAATTGTTTAGTTTTAAATTGATTAAACATTTAATCTGAGATAGATCAGTTGTTATAAAAATAAGAAGATGTGGTATTCTTGCCAATCAGACAACTCTTCACCAGAGACCAAATGACATAGATGTTTATAATGGAATATGTAGACCGCTCACGCACAAGCAAAAAACCCTAACTGTCAAATATAAGGGCATACACACCAGGAACGGGGACAAATTCTACTGCATCCACAGTGTTTGTATTTTTACAACTTTTTATTTGAGATTAAAAGCATGTGTATTTTCCAGGTGAAGAAGGGCAAGACGCTGGAGGACTGTTACGAGAATGGTACATCATCATAGCTCGAGAAATATTCAACCCTAACTATGCATTGTTTGCTACGTCTCCTGGAGATCGTGTGACATATACAATAAATCCTAGTTCTCACTGTAACTCTAATCATCTCAGCTACTTTAAATTTGTGGGACGTATCATAGCGAAAGCTATTTATGACAATAAACTGCTGGATTGTTACTTTACCAGGTCTTTCTACAAACATATTCTCGGACAGCATGTGAAGTAAGTATGTCTTATGAGTATTTCTGAGAGTGGAAATAACATAGGCAATGTAGTTTTTTTTCTAATTTGCAGAAGAGTGACCAATTATGTAAAAATCTGTTTTGTTGGAGGCGATGGTGAGAACACTACAATTAATAGAATAACTCATTTATACTGCAGATTGTGGATAAAAATAATATTAACTGCAGAAATGTTGTTGATAGCTTCAAAGGTACAAGTGTAATCGATGAAGCAACTCCAATCACCATCAAATAGGTGGTTCCATCATGATCAAATTTGAATGGAATATTTTTTTGGGGGGGGGTTGCTTGCTTGCTTGCGACCTGACATCTCATTTTAAATGTGAGACTTGAACATCAGATAAGAACTGTCTAGTTTTCTCAAAAATGGTCTGGTGACCAGAGGCAATTTTTGAAGTGACCTTGTGTCCTAGGTGGGTACCCTACTGGAGCCAAAATAGTTATTTTTGCCTTCCAACCATTGCATGTCTTTTTGCTTTGAAAAGGATTTCATGTTTTATGCTTTAAACAAAGCAAAATAATTGTATGAGTGATATATAGTTCAATGGTAATTGAGTGTTCTACAGCACTTACAATTAGGATATAGCATGCTCAGTATATGTTGTCTTCATTTAAACATTTGCCAAAACTGGAGTTTAATTCACTTTTAGACTTCTTTAAGAGACTAATTTTGAAAAATGTTGCATGGACAAATGGATAATGACTATCATCAAATGTATGTTAAGCCTGATGATGAAACCTTTCAATTAAATGCTTTTGTTTTGTTTCCAGGTACACTGATATGGAAAGTGAAGATTATTCATTTTATAAAGGTTTAGTCTTCTTAATCCAGAATGACGTACAAGATCTTGGATATGAATTGACATTTAACACAGAGGTAACATAACTACATATAAGACATGGATGGGGAAATATAAGTTCTATAGATTTGGTGTAGGCAGTCAACCACAAAATAATACTTAAAAATGTGCAATACAAAAAAAAAAATAGGCAATTCAAAGTTTTAACCTGTGTTGCCTAAGGCAGAAGCAGGTCTAGTAACTGCTGGACTCTGTCTGTCCATCCTTCCAAAAGAAAACTTTTGTCAAAGTTTTCCCACCTTCTTTGAATGGGAATTATTTGATATATATCTACAGCTTGATAAAGTTGAGCTGTAGGGATTAAGCAATATTTACATCTGCCATGTAACCACTTCCTGTTTCCTGATAGTTTAAAATTTTACAACACTTGTTGTACAAGGAATATTTGGGTCAAAGTTTTCTGTGAAGATATTGTACATGCAGAGATTATTTTGTGTTTTCCTTTAATCCCTATGAAGACAATGTTTAAATGGGACTGCCAAGCATAGAGATATTATTTCTTTACATTCATTTTTACTTGGCAGTGGGGTTCAAAATGTATCCACTGTGCTATGTATGTGTTAGTGAATGAAATGAAAATTGTCATTTTTTTATATTGTTTTTTTTTTAAATAATGTATGTTGAGGGGAAAGTGTGATTTGGATGGAGGATAAATGTGTAAGTCACACAAATGTTTCAGAAATATAACATGATTTTTTCATTACCAGAAGAACTCATAATCTTATAATTTTTATGCCCCCGCCGTAGCGGAGGGGGCATTAAGTTTTACCCTTGTCTATATGTACGTCCCAAAATTGGTTTCCGTTCTCTAACTTTAATTTGCCTCAACCAAATATTATGAAACTTATACACAATGCTTATAACCACAAAACACAGATCAAGTTTGAATTTTGGTGGCGTCACTTTTACCGTTCTAGAGTTATGCTCCTTTACAAATGGAAAAATTGCTGAATTTTTCGTTTCCGTTCTCTAACTTTAATTTGCCTCAACCAAATGTTATGAAACTTATACACAATGCTTATTACCACAAAACACAGATCAAGTTTTAATTTTGGTGTCGTCACTTTCACCTTTCTAGAGTTATGCCCCTTTACAAACTGAAAAATTGCTGAATTTTTCGTTTCTTGTCTCTAACTTAAGTTTGCCTCAACCAAATTTTATGAAACTTATACACAATGCTTATTACTACAAAACTCAGATCAAGTACAAATTTTGGAAGCGTCACTTTTACTGTTCTTCAGTTATGTCCCTTTATAACTTAATAGGATATGCAAGCGGGGGCATCATCTGTGTCCCATGGACACATTCCTCATTTATTTTCTTTTTATGCCCCTGCCGTTGCGGTGGGGGCATTAAGTTTTACCCTTGTCCGTCTGTACGTACGTACGAACATCCTTCCGTACGTCCCAAAATTGGCTTCCGTTCTCTAACTTGAGTTTGCCTCAACCAAATGTTATGAAACTTATACACAATGCTTATTACCACAAAACACAGATCAAGTTTGAAGTTTGGTGGTGTCACTTTAACCGTTCTAGAGTTATGCCCCTTTATAAATGGAAAAATTGCAAAATTTTTATTTTCTTATAAATATCAAGTAATTTTTAATAAAATTGGAGTTATCTTCCTTTGTCCATGATGATAGTTGAATCAACTACAATCAATGCATTATACAATGCAATGTTTAATTTTGACTGCCACTGATAAAACACAGATCAAGTTGAATTTGGGTAGTGTAACTTTAACCATTATTGAGTTATGCCCCTTTATAAATCGAAAGATTGCAAAATTTTTAGTTTCCATTCTGTAACTTAAGTTTGCCCAAACCAAACATGAAACCTTTACACAATATTCATTACCACAAAACTAAGATCAAGTACAAATTTTTTGTTTCGGTTTTCTAACTTTAGTTTGCCTCAACCAAATGTTATGAAACTTATACACAATGCTTATTACTACATAATACAGATTAAGTACGAAATTTGGTGGCGACACTTTTACCATTCTTGAGTTATGTCCCTTTATAAACATGAAAATTGCTGAATTTTTTAGTTTGTCTCAACCAAATGTTATAAAACTTATACACAACTGTTCTAGAGTTATGCGTGTTTACAAATAGAAAAATTGCTGAATTTTTAGTTTCTGTTCTCTTCTTAAGTTAGCCTCAACCAAATGTTATAAGACTTACACACAATGCTCATTACCACAAAACTCAGATCAAGTTCAAATTTGGGTAGCGTCGCTTTTACCGTTCTTCAGTTATGTTCCTTTATAACTATATGATATGCAAGCGGGGCCATCATCTGTGTCCACATGTGGACACTATCCACATTTATATTTTAACACAAATGGATCGTTGATATGAGAATCAATTGAACTTTTGATGAAGCAACACAAACATTGACTCAACATAAAATTTCAAAATCTCCACAAATAGGGGATAAAAAAGAAATGTTTAATTTTGCAGATCCGAGAATTTGGTGTCACTGAAACAAGAGATCTCAAGCCCAATGGCCGTAACATACCTGTAAATGAAGATAATAAGAAGGAGTATGTCAAGTTAGTTTGTCAAATGAGAATGACAGGTGCTATTAGGAAACAGTTGGGAGCATTCATGGAAGGTTTCTATGACATCATACCAAAGAGACTAATATCAATATTCACAGAACAAGAATTAGAACTTTTAATTTCTGGTCTTCCTACAATCGATATTGATGATTTGAAAGCTCACTCGGAATACCATAAATACCAACCTACTTCATTACAAGTAAGTGTTAAGTATAATGAGGTTAGAAATTTTATTTTGTTCCTTTTAATTAAAATCCTATAGCATGTGTAGTGTTTGTTTGTTTAAACTATGAATATAATTGATCGATTGCTTTTCAGTGACAGTATTACTGTTTACACACAGCATGAATATTGTTTGTTTACAAGATTTCTGAATGGCTCACTTTGTTAATAAATTCTTTCCTTTTGTAAGTATTTAAACAAAAATGACACAATAACTTTCGTTGAAATATTTTGGTATGGACATGTGTCCTATATAAACAACATGAACAATGGACAACTTGTGATTTTGTCACTTCTGTACTTCAGGGATTCTAATTTCAGTATACCTTGCCCTGAAGACGCTAATCTAATCCGCTAAACATGTCAGCTACTAAAAGTTGCAATTTACTTAAGTGTTGGCAATTAAGCAGTATTTGATAAATTTTTATTAGCTCACCTGGCCCGAAGGGCCAAGTGAGCTTTTCTCATCACTTGGCGTCCGTCGTCCGTCGTCGGCATTAACTTTTTAAATTTTGAACTTCTTCTAGAGAACCACTGAATGGAATGAAACCAAACATGGCATGAATGTTCCTTATGAGGTGCTGACCAAGTGTTGTTACTTTGTAGCCGATCCATCATCCAAGATGGCCGCCAGCGGGGGACTTAGTTTAACATAGGACCCTATGGGAAATGCATACAAATGACTTCTTTTAGAGAACCACTGAATGGAATGAAACCAAACATGGCATGAATGTTCCTTATGAGGTGCTCACCAAGTGTTGTTACTTTGTAGCCGATCCATCATCCAAGATGGCCGCCAGCGGGGAACTTAGTTTAACATAGGACCCTATGGGAAATGCATACAAATGACTTCTTTTAGAGAACCACTGAATGGAATGAAACCAAACATGGCATGAATGTTCCTTATGAGGTGCTGACCAAGTGTTGTTACTTTGTAGCCGATCCATCATCCAAGATGGCCGCCAGCGGGGGACTTAGTTTAACATAGGACCCTATGGGAAATGCATACAAATGACTTCTTTTAGAGAACTACTGAATGGAATGAAACCAAACATGGCATGAATGTTCCTTATGAGGTGCTGACCAAGTGTTGTTACTTTGTAGCCGATCCATCATCCAAGATGGCCGCCAGTGGGGGACTTAGTTTAACATAGGACCCTATGGGAAATGCATACAAATGACTTCTTTTAGAGAACCACTGAATGGAATGAAACCAAACATGGCATGAATGTTCCTTATGAGGTGCTCACCAAGTGTTGTTACTTTGTAGCCGATCCATCATCCAAGATGACCGCCAGCGGGGAACTTAGTTTAACATAGGACCCTATGGGAAATGCATACAAATCACTTCTTTTAGAGAACCACTGAATGGAATGAAACCAAACATGGCATGAATGTTCCTTATGAGGTGCTGACCAAGTGTTGTTACTTTGTAGCCGATCCATCATCCAAGATGGCCGCCAGCGGGGGACTTAGTTTAACATAGGACCCTATGGGAAATGCATACAAATGACTTCTTTTAGAGAACCACTGAATGGAATGAAACCAAACATGGCATGAATGTTCCTTATGAGGTGCTGACCAAGTGTTGTTACTTTGTAGCCGATCCATCATCCAAGATGGCCGCCAGCGGGGGACTTAGTTTAACATAGGACCCTATGGGAAATGCATACAAATGACTTCTTTTAGAGAACCACTGAATGGAATGAAACCAAACATGGCATGAATGTTCCTTATGAGGTGCTCACCAAGTGTTGTTACTTTGTAGCCGATCCATCATCCAAGATGGCCGCCAGCGGGGAACTTAGTTTAACATAGGACCCTATGGGAAATGCATACAAATGACTTCTTTTAGAGAACCACTGAATGGAATGAAACCAAACATGGCATGAATGTTCCTTATGAGGTGCTCACCAAGTGTTGTTACTTTGTAGCCGATCCATCATCCAAGATGGCCGCCAGCGGGGGACTTAGTTTAACATAGGACCCTATGGGAAATGCATACAAATGACTTCTTTTAGAGAACCACTGAATGGAATGAAACCAAACATGGCATGAATGTTCCTTATGAGGTGCTGACCAAGTGTTGTTACTTTGTAGCCGATCCATCATCCAAGATGGCTGCCAGCGGGGGACTTAGTTTAACATAGGACCCTATGGGAAATACATAAAAATGTCTTCTTTTAGAGAACCACTGAATGGAATGGAACCAAACATGGCATGAATGTTCCTTATGAGATGCTGACCAAGTGTTGTTACTTTGTAGCCGATCCATCATCCAAGATGGCCGCCAGCGGGGGACTTAGTTTAACATAGGACCCTATGGGAAATACATACAAATGTCTTCTTTTAGAGAACCACTGAATGGAATGAAACCAAACATGGCATGAATGTTCCTTATGAGGTGCTGACCAAGTGTTGTTACTTTGCAGTCGGTCCATCATCCAAGATGGCCGACAGCAGGGGACTTAGTTTAACAAAGGACCCTATGGGAAATACATACAAATGTCTTCTTTTAGAGAACCACTGAATGGAATGAAACCAAACATGGCATGAATCTTCCTTATGAGATGCTGACCAAGTGTTGCTTCTTTGTAGCCGATCCATCATCCAAGATGGCCGCCAGCGGGGGACTTAGTTTTACATAGGACCCTTTGGGAAATACATAAAAATGTCTTCTTTTAGAGAACCAATAAATGGAATGGAACCAAACATGGCATGAATGTTGCTTATGAGATGTTGACCAAGTGTTGTTACTTTGCAGCCGATCCATCATCCAAGATGGCAGACAGCGGGGGACTTTGTTTAATATAGGACCCTATGGGAAATACATACAATTGTCTTCTTTTAGAGAACCACTGAATGGAATTGAACCAAACATGGCATGAATGTTCCTTATGAGTTGCTGACCAAGTGTTGTTACTTTGCAGTCGATCCATCATCCAAGATGGCCGCTAGGGGGGGGGGGGGGGCTTAGTTTAACATAGGACCCTATGGGAAATACATACAAATGTCTTCTTTTAGAGTACCACTAAATGGAATGAAACCAAACATGGCATGAATGTTCCTTATGAAGTGCTGACCAAGTGTTGCTACTTTGTTGCCGATTTACTGTTCAAGATGGCCACCAGGATATTTTATTAAATAATGGGACCAATATTAATCAAAATTTGGCCTCAATCATTATTTGGGTATCTGTTATGATTTTTATCTATCTTTACATGATTTCTAAAACCAAAGTAGAGTCAGGTGAGCGACACAGGCTCTTGAGAGCCTCTAGTTTGAAAACCCTGCATACCATCCATATCTACTTGAGGGAACTCAAACAGCACCAAATTTAGGAGTTGTTGGGTCAGCAGTTCTTTATTTCTTTTCAATCTAAAAACTATAAGCCCACAGTTAAGATTATCTTAATTCAATAATTTTTCAGTTACTCAAGCAATTGTCTTGAATAGAAAAAAATATTTTTATTGATATGAAACTGACTCTCTACTATAATAAATATTTTCAGGTTCAGTGGTTTTGGAGAGCTTTGAGATCTTTTGATCAAGCAGACAGAGCCCAATTCTTACAATTTGTAACTGGTACTTCAAAAGTTCCTTTGCAAGGCTTTGGTTTCTTGGAAGGAATGAATGGATACCAGAAGTTTCAGATCCACAGAGATGACAGGTCTACAGACAGACTTCCTGTTGCTCATACTTGGTAGGTTTGAAACTCTTGTCAGATCAGCTACAGATGTGGCCATTAGAGTTGTGTCAATTTTTTTAACCTCAGTATATGAAGATCATAAGGTCCAAAATAAGTGTAGTATAGTAACACAAGTTGCAATTACTTTAAAATCTTTTGATTTTGTATAAGCTTAAGCATAAATAGTGAAAAAGTTATTATGTTACAGTATTTTTATGTGATACCTTGTAAAATGCTAAATGTAAACAGTCTAAAATAACATGGCTGAGTTCTTATAATTTGATTAACAGATCTTTCTCTTGAATATATTTGAAAATATTGAAATAATATTGTCAGTAACAAACAAGGAAATTCAAAAGTGTGAATGAATACCGTATACGGCCGTGTATTGTCCGCATTTGTGTATAGTCCGCACCCCCTTTCCATCCCCAAATATCGCGGAAAAAGTCTAGTTCGCTTGTATAGTCCGCAACAACTTTTGACAAGATCGGGTCCGCGAACAATGACGGAAACTGCCGAATTTGCGGTATTTTTATATTTTTTTTTTTTTGGTTTATGGCGAGATCGGCAAGATAGTAAGTATTGTTGTTAAAAAGATCGATAGTTAGTATAAACTTATGAATAGTTTTTGAATGGGATCTTTAAAGATATGTTTTTAATCTTTTTTAAAGACCGGCAAGAAAGTAATCATTGTTGTTAAAAGATCGATAATTAATATAAAATTATGATAAGTTTGTGAGAGAGAACTTTAAAGATATGTATTTAATCTATTTTAACAGTCTTCAAAAGATTTGTTTACCGGTATTTGCTCAATTAAATCTTCTTTCAGAATATCATTCTTTACTAATTGATTTAAAGTCCCAAACAATGAAAGTAAGAACTGTATGCATGTAATTAATGTTGATTAATTCAATCATGTACATTTAACTATCGGCTTATCACTTTTGATATCATTGTAAGTCGTAGCTTGCCCAAGCCAATAAACTTTTCAACATTCTAAAAATAAATATTTGGTATGCTATTAAACAAAAGAAAATTAAAGATCAAACATTTAAGATCAAAAATGAATTCAACTCAGACTGTAAAAACCAAGCTTATCCCTTTTGGTATATAAAGAAATGTTAAATTTTAACTATCATACCTTCGAATTGTCATTACCAGACGATGGGTAAAATACGTCAGTCCTTCACCGTTAAAGAAAAACTTAAAGTTGTCGCATATGCTGAAGCCCACGGCAACCGTGCCGCTGGTAGAGAGTATACCATTGATGAGAAAAATGTCCGTAATTGGAGAAAACTTAAAGAACGTTTGCAAAAAATGCCAAAATCAAAAAAAGCCAACAGGGGTAGTGCCCCTCACTTCCCTGATCTTGAAAAAGCCCTGATGCCCTGGGTAACAGATCGTAGACAACAAGGCTTTGCCCTATCTACAACAGAGTTGCGTCTAAAAGCAATTCATTTATCAAAATCAATGCCAGATCACAAAAACTTCAGAGGCTCCATAGACTGGTGTTATGGGTTTTTACGACGTCATGATTTATCAATCCGTCGTCGTACGCATATTTCTCAAAAACTTCCAGCTGACTACGAAGATAAACTTCTAGAATTTCAGAAATATATAATAAAATTACGGAAGAAAAATAATTATCTTTTGTCACAGATAGGCAATGCAGATCAAACTCCTCTCACGTTTGATTTGCCGGCTGATACAACTATTGACCATAAAGGTACATCAACCGTAAATATTAGAACAACTGGCAATGAAAAAAATCGGTTTACCGTAATGTTAGCATGCACAGCAGACGGAGGAAAGCTTCCACCTTACGTTGTATTTAAAAGAAAAACCATGCCAAAGATACCTTTCCCTAAAGGTCTAATAGTACAGGTGCACCCAAATGGTTGGTTTGATGACCGCATTACAAAAGATTGGGTGACCCGAGTGTGGGGTAGGCGACCCGGTGCCGGACGCAGTCGTAGTATGCTAGTGCTAGATGCCTTTAGATGCCACAGGTCGGAGGAAGTAAAGACAATCATGAAGGACGAGCATAAATCAGATCTTGCCATTATACCGGGTGGTATGACAAGTATTTTACAACCCCTTGACGTAAGCATAAACAAGCCGATGAAGGTCGCACTTCGACAGAAATGGAATGCCTGGATCAGCGGAGATGACCATTCATTCACCAACACTGGTAGAATGCGCAAGCCAGAAATGCCAGTCATCTGTTCCTGGATAGTAGAGGCATGGGAGGAACTTGACCCTCAAATCATCATCAGATCCTTCAAGAAATGCACAATTTCTAATGCCCTTGATGGATCCGAAGACGACATGGTATGGGAAGAACACGTCCAAGCTTCCACTCCACCAACAGAAGATGAAGGTGAAGAAGATGAAGAACTAGAAGATGACAGAGACATCTATTACTATGATGAAGATGAAGATGACGACATGCCACTGGCTGCCTTGAGAGACATCTTTGCCATATTCCGTGAAGAAGACGAAGAATCTTTTGATGGTTTTTAATCATTAAAACATTTTAGTGCTATTGTGACATTAAGCTAGATTGTATTATCATAACTTTAATAGTGCATTATATTATATTACAAATTGTCTGATCTAATTATAAACTTTAATAGTGCATCATATTCTGATATACCTTTGTATTGTTATGTTTGATGTTTAAAAAAATTGATTAGACCTCATTAAAATATTTTAACTCTTTAATCTTATCATTTCTTTTTATTGATTTGAAGAACTGCCGGAGGTTATTGTATTACATTCATCACTTGTCAAAAGTTGACATGGTTATTTAATTGCTTTACACACAAACCCGTAAACTCATTCATGCAAGACGACACACCTGCACAATATGACCTTTCACCTGGAAATATAGTTTCGTATGAAAAATTCCATTACTTTCCGGTTTACACTTTTAGTGTTTATGGTTACGATTTACAATTAAAAAATATCAGTTCTTGATTTATTTACGCCGATAAGTTCGAGTTATACACAAAAAGTCGGAATACGAAAATTGTTGATACTTTACTTCCACACTTTCAAAATGGCGCATCGTGGTTTACTTGTTACACACGCGAATAACATTAAACAAAATCATCGATCTTGGGAAGATTTTACTTGGTTTCAACTTGACTATTATGATTTTATGATTCAAGGTTGCATCGTTCATTGATATTCAGGATTCAGGTACACAGTTAAGATGGAATGACACAAATTTTACCAAATCCGAAACATACCGGACATTTATCAAAGGCTGAATTTTATGCAAATTACTAAGTCAACATTGTTAAATTGTTAATTTTATTATTTTATTATACAAAGAGTAATCAAAGATACAGTATAACATTGACAACACATGAAATTTCTGTTTACTTGTCGGACGTTGGTCAAACCTGGTTCAATATCGTATCCCAACACTGGAAAAAAATGTCATGAAATCCTATAGTACTGCATAGTCCGCACCCCTTCCATCAATTTCATTCCCAGGGTAAAAAACCGCGGACTATACAAGCCTTTCTACGGTAGTTATGTTTGTTTCATAATAAATGTTATCAGTGTTTTGTTCTGTTTATAAATTGTTTGTTTGTTTTTCTTTCTTTTCGAATTGATGATATACGATAACTAGTTACCTCTTGTATTACAAAATTTAAAAGAAAATATGTTTTCTTTCATTTTATAGTTTTAATCAGCTAGATCTACCTGCCTATGAAACATACGACAAACTAAGAAAGATGCTATTGTTGGCAATCAATGAATGTTCTGAAGGATTTGGTCTGGCGTAGAGGACAATAATTTTCCCCTGAAAACTAGTTTGACATTCATGTAGAGGGCCATGATGTGTATGTTACGAGTGAAGTTTTGGTTGACATGGAAACCACAAGAAGTACTTTTGTTAGTGAAATTTTTAACAATGCCAGAATTCTGTATGAACTAGTAATATTAAATGGAACACTTTATATGTATATATATATATATATGAACTTGTAAAAAGAAAAGTTATTCGTAGCATATGTGGAATACATATTTACGAACTTCAAAACATTGACATTACTCACTGTATGGAGTATAAAACTTTTTGTTACGTGTTACGTATGTAATTATATGTGTGTACGAGTTATTTAAGGATGAATACTTTTTATGCAGTAAATATTTTACCAGTATTTGAAAGGAATTTGACTTGAGTGTGGTGAAAGGGAAAGAAATAGAGTTGGACAAGAGAATTTTGCTTCATTAAAATGGAATTATGGGCAATTGTTGCTATAGTTATTATTGTAAAAGTAGTATCATGCACTATCTTCAACAGAACGGTTACGTTTGCAGCAGAATTATAAAGGTAATTTGTTTTATTTTACACACACTGTATACTGATAAAATTCATTATGTGGTGTGAACCGTGCTAATTGTTTCGTTTCTTCATTTCTTTTTCCATTTATTTGCTTGGTATTTGTAAGTGTCCTCAGTATAAGACATAATTTGTTAGGACTGATTTTTATGTGTGTATTGTGTTATTTTTGGTGCAGTTGTATCTTATTTATTAAAAATTTCTATTACATGCATAATGTTCCACATGATTGGATATGTATAATGTTGAGACTGTTTCATTTGTTTTCCAAATGGGACCATGCTTCTGAGAAATTGATTTAGATGTTCAAAAATTAATATAGAAATATGAGTAAAAATGGGTCGTGTATTCCATAACTATTGAAGTGCTTTACATGGTTTGTCCAAACTGTTCTGGATTGGGCATTTGTTTTCCTTCTGTTTGATTTGTTGTTTATAATTTATTTTCTGTTATATAAATATATACATGTATACCTTATATATAATTTGCTTGTAAAATAACAGTTTTGTGTAGCTTGTTGTTAAATGTTCTTCAGACTTCTAAAAGTAAATAAAAAGTAAAAAATAAAATGCACGCTTTAAGTATGCTTATTGGTTATAAAGGTGACATAATATGCCCATATTTTTACCACAATTCTGTGACTCTTTTCACAAAAAATTTTACAATTAAAATTAATTGTAAGTTATACTGAAATGTGTATGACTTACTAGTAATTTTACTCTTTAAGATTTTTCGTGAAAAGAGCTACAGGAATTATTTGCCATGGCATTGATGAAAGTTAATTCTTTCACTTCCAGCTTTTTTTAAGATATACCTATCCCAGGAAATGAATACAGAATGACGCTAATATATGTTACTTTTTGATTTTGATTGAAATCATATGTTATTTATGTACATTTGATATGTAAATAATATCTAGTTTATTGCTGTTGCAGGTTGTTTTGATTTTGAAAACAAAATCATTGTATTTTTTTTTGTTTTTTTTTTTTCATTGGAAGCAAAATTTATCATTAAAACTGCAGTAGATAAATTCTAGTTTATCTTTATACAAAGTAAGCAGAAACCACTGTAGTTTTGGAATAGTAAAATTGCAGTAGATAAATTCTAGTTTATCTTTATACAAAGTAAGCAGAAACCACTGTAGTGTTGGAATGGTAAAATTGCAGTAGATAAATTCTAGTTTATCTTTATATCAAGTAAGCAGAAACCACTGTAGTTTTGGAATGGTAAAATTACTCATCTCAATTCTTTGTTATAAATTTTTGACAAGTTTGTGGGTTCTTGTTGCTTTCACTTTAGTTTTCTGTCTTGTACTTTGTGATATTTATTTTTCAATGTCTTGTGTTGTTTCTGTAGGTACTGCTCTTGTGAAAATACTTTGTGATGAAACAAATTATACTATTTTTACAATTGGTCATGTTTGTTTTATACTATACATGTACTGATGTCGTATAAATTTGGATATGTATATGGTTTCTAATGAGACATCTGCCAATTCCCTATTGCCATATTTCTATGACACATTCACCTTTGGGGTGGAGTCTGTAAGAAATGTCCTTTGGTTTAAGTATGTTTATGTATAAAGTCCTTTTTTCAATATTTACAGTTGCTGAATAGAATTCACTAGTCTTTTATATTTTTATTACTTTGCGACCTTTCAGAAAATATTCCTCAGGATTTGTGTTTTTAATTCCAATCCCAAGTACAAAATGAAAGGGATGTCTGAAAGTGTAAATTCTGCTGAATGGTTGAAATTGTTTTTCGTCATATCTTTTAAACAGAATGATTGGAAATGTGGGATGAGTAGTCCTTGTTTGTGCTTTTCTGAACTTGTGATTTTGTTGTCTATCTTAAATTGGTGTTTGCTTTCACAGAACGACTACTTGTAGTTTATTATAGAACTGGACTATAGTGCACAGGAATCACAATACAAGCTACAAAATAGAAACTATTTACAGTTTTTATACGCCTGTTTATGGGACGTATTATGGTATACCTTTGTCCATCTGTCCGTCGTCAACATGTCGGACATTAACTCAAAAACGCTTTAACCAATTTGCATAAAACTTTGGTGAATTGTTTATATCTATTGATGTAAGCTCCCTTTACATTTTCATAAATTCCTAATATGACATTGAGAATTAATTGAACTTTATTTGTTTATAGTCTGAAAGCAGATTTACGAAGTATTGCGCAACAGCACAGTGTATTGCACAACAGCAAGAAATCTTTAATTGAATATAAATTCAATTCATATAACCAATTTCAAGTTCTTTGACTACATTTATTCAGAAACCTATAATATGTCAAATATTTAATACAATCCAAATTCAGACCTGTATCAAGCTTGAATATTGTGTCCATTTTTGTCCCAACTGTTCAGGGTTGGACCTCTGCGGGCGTATCCAGCTGCGCTCAGCGAAGCAGTTTATTATTAATATTATACATGGATTACATCAACTGGATATCTGATTTAAGACTACAATCAGGTGGAACAACAATGTCATAAACACTGTTACAGTTACAACATCATTCTTGCATCAGCACTTTAAACTATACATTAGCTGATTGGATTAAAATGACAGGTTGTCACACTGTCAATGTTTACCTCTTGTATTTAAATTAGCCTTAAGTAATTTATTTTATTGCCAAGGAAATTAAACCTTTCACTGTATAGGTTGATGTTAGTCAGGGTATTTAAAAAAATATTTTGCATAGCTGTTGTATTTGATTAATGGGATAGTTCTTCCAAGAGGTAACTTATCCCAACCAACACCAACTGGTATTTGTTTCCTTTACAATACAATACAATACAATATGTTCTGATTAATTATTAATTTACAGTTTCAATTGGTATTGTAAATGCAATGAAGCCATGGGAAATGTATTTAAACTACATTTTTAAAAATGACCTCTTTGACTATAAAGTTTTATTATCACAGGATTTTCTCACCTACTCTTGAGTGAAAGGTAAACTTGAGCTGGTTTGTAGAATAATTTAATGGTCTGCATGTCAGTCGTGCAAGATTCACCAGATTTTGACTTCATTTTATGGTTGAAAATTTTTGGTCAAGTCAGTTCCTCAGATACTATAAGTTATAAGTCAACTATATTTAGTGAATGAAATGATTGTAGTTTTTACATGTCAATGTTCATCTGTCATTGACCCCATTTTCATTATTTTTGTTTTCATTGTCATTGTAAGGTATGTTTCTAAAATGCTATAAGTAAAAGTTCCAACTAAATTTAGTGTATGAAATGATTGTTAAGTACACATTTTAGCAAGAATAATCTGACCTTGACCTCATTTGCATGGTTTATTGGTCCAAGTTAAGCTTTCATATCCGTCTGCTTTGGTTTGTCTGACCATGACCAAAATTTCATGAATCCTTAATAATGAAGTTTGTGTGACACCTATAGTATAAACTAACTTGAAGACTCGACATGAAATCAGTCATGATCAGTAATTGTCTTCCTATTGGAGGTTTATATATATATTTTATGTTTTCAATAAACCAAGGATTTACTTAACAAGATCTAATTAACCCATGTTTAAACCTTTATTCATTTGAATTTTAAATTTTGCAAGTAAGATTGGGGTAACTTTGTTTAGACTTGTTATTTTGAACTTGGTCATGTGACATCTTATTTTAGACATGCTATTCAAGGTACCTATTGCCTATGTACATAGTTAAAATAGATACCACATCTATATAGTCACATGTGTAGATGCTATGCTATCAGCTGTGTAACTGGTGATCAATACAGGATTTTTTGGAACCCCTTTAGTGACTAAGTCTAAAAATTACTTAAAAAAAATAACCCACCTACATATTGTCTAACCTGAAATGAAGGTTGTTGAACAGTGCAAGACGAGTATCAAATCTAAATCTATGAAGTCATTAAACCAAAGTTGGTCACAAACTGAGTCAACTTAATTTTGTGCTAGAACCTTTCCTGTTATGTTTAAACTGTTGTTCAAGTTTCAGCTGACCAATCAACATGACCTGTTGTGTTATTAATGGTTTAAACAGTCATTTGATTGCTATAAAAGAAAAAAATATAGACAACTCTCCACCAAATGCATTAGAATCTACTTTTGTTTTCAGGCTCAGTTGAGACCATGCACTGTCTATAACAATGAGGGATATTGTGTGTTTTCTGGTATGTGCGTCCCGTATCATGTTAAATGTTTTGGTTATTTAGTTCCAAATTTCACGATTCACTGAACATGGAAATGTGATAATTCTCAGCTTAAAGTTAGATCTAAGTTTAATGTTACTTTGTAGATAACCTCCAGGTCATGGTCAAATAAATTTTTGGTATGCATGTTTATTTTTATGTGTTTTAAGGGTTCACTCGACATGAAAGTACAATGGGGCTAATATGTCATGTGGACACATATTCTTTTTAGTAAATATTCTTTAATATTTCAACTTATTTTCCTTTATTTCATGTGTTCTTGATTTTTTCGATACAACATTGAAAAGAAGAATAAAGGGGCAATGCGTAAACTTTACAGTTATTTGGAATTTGTATGGATAAGAGCAAGCACACATAAAATAAGGGATCTTAAGTTGAAATATTAAAGATAGACTAAGTTTTTTAAAAAAACTTGTACACAAAACAAAATATTGAGAAAACGAAAGTCCATACCCTAAGCGTCTGTTAATATTATAATGCAGCTTGCTGACATTATTCGGCCTTGTTTTGTTGACACTGATACATTGCATCTATGCTTGGAATATAATATACAGTAAATCTACCTAGTAAGTTGTTTCATTATTTACCAGCATTTAGAGCTGTATTTTTGTGGGTGTTTTTTTAAAAAAAAATGTTTAACAAATTTCTTATATGAATTTATCAAAAATTGATTAATAATCTATTGTGACACCTGGCAATTTTACATCTTCTTCACACTTTGTCCTATTTCCATTTAATTAAAATGCAAGAATATGATTAAAAAGAATGATTTCAAATAGCGAAAGCCTGAAATTTATCTGAATTCGCTTGCACTTTTTAAACCAAATTTTCCGAATGTCATGACTGTCATAAGACAGAGTGTTACCATCTGTATAGTTGTACAAAGCACTACTTATATCTACAACATAAAAATATCGTTATTAAAGATATTAAAAGGTATAGGGCCAGATATGATCCTTGTGGCTCCACTTCATACATATGATAGTTTCAAATATACTTTAGTAATTATCAACTTTCACATATTGCTTTCTGCATTATAAGTAACTTTTTAATGAAGAAATCGATTTTTGTGACAGACCATAAACTTGTAATTTCGACCATAGTAAATAATCTGGCATATAACCTAAAGCTTTTGATAATCCGTAAACATTGCAGCTACACATTTATTTTCATCTAAATGCCTTTTCCCAGTCTTCTATTATTTTCAGTAATTTGCAGTTTGACATCCTTAGCCAGCTCTAAATGCAGACAAAAAAAGAATAAAACATTAATGAAAAAAACTGAGAAGAAAACTCAATTAACTGAACAAAAATTGCTATTTCAACACTTTTTGGTATAGTTTCAGTTCACTGACTGGACTTTCCTTTTTCAGGATTATTATATTTCTTAAATAATGGCCGACCAATTCCACCTTCTGCTTTTCATGACAAGAAAAACAGATGACTCATTAGTTTTATCAACCATTGGTTTTATTGGTGTTACAATCATAGGCTTTGACAGTTTTATATTTTTTGTTAATGTACCATCAGAGACATATATACACATGTGTATATATGTCTCTGGTACCATCAAATCCTGTAGCCATTTAAATATGGATCTTTGTTTTCTTACAAATTCTTCACTGACAGGTTTGAAAATAAGATCTTTAGTAACTACTTTATTTTTATTAATCATACATAAACTCTGGTGTTGTTCATCCACTGCAACTGTATCACTACTAGTCGTTTTTGATACATATATAAAAGAGAGGCGAAAGATACCAAAGGGACATTCAAACTCATAAGTCGAAAATAAGCTGACAACGACATGGCAAAAAAAAAAGACCAA